GACTGGACATGCCAATTCCAGGTGATGAGGACTGGCTGGTTGCCGTGGGTGACCAGCATGCTCTACCACACACTCCTGCTGTGACGTGCTGCCTCGCCACAGGCCCCAGGACAATGGGATCAACAACCAGGACTGACTTCCCAACACTGTGGCCCAACATCAACCTTCATCTTTACAAGTTTCCTCTCTCAGGTGTTTTGTTCCAGTAACAGAAGGCTGACAGTCACCATTGTCAGCATTGTTACCACTGGCACCGAGAACGTCTTACTATTACACCACAACATCACCATGGTCGGCAGAGACACCATCATCAGCACCATGTAACCAGCCTGGCCGTCACCATCATTACCAACATGACCAGTGTCACTGCTATTTATTAACATCACTCCAGTGGTTCTCCACCAGGGGAATCCTGCCCTCCACATGGACTTCATGGTGCCTGGAGAGATTTTAGTGGTCTGATCTGGGGGTGGGGGTGGTTTTTATTACTGGCCTCGAGTGGGCAGGGGCCAGGGATCTACAATGCACAGGACAACCTTACCCCCACCTTGAAGAATTTTCGGTCCGTGAATGTCGGTGGTGCCGAGGTGAGGCACTGGTCCACTTTCTGCCCAGGACACTGGGATCCCTGTCCTCCAGCGCATGTCCATACCCACATCATCCTGCAGGGCAAGTGGGACTCTCAGCGTCCCCCAGGAGGGGCTGGGGAAGCTCTGGGAGAAGTGGCCTGCTCAGGGCCCCTGTCCAGCTGGTGCAGGGCGGGGTCTTGACCACACCGTCCAATCTCTCCCTGCCTGGTCCACCTCTGGCACCCGTGTCCCCACTTGCTTGGCAACATGTGACCACTGGGTCCCTGTCACATGCTGGATGCCTGATGTGACCCTCCCACTGTCAGCCCTGCCCTCGAGGCAGAGACCGAGACCCACAGTTTAAACACAGAGAAACTGGGCTGAGGAGAAGGGGTCCCTGCAGCTACCTGGAGTCGTGGCCAGCGCTCACCACCCGCCGTCTTCCCCCCTCTGGCCCTGGTTCTGTCCACCTGCTCCAGCTCCTGGCCTGTGTCCCCTCCAGCCCTGCCTTCCCTTCTGCAGCCAGAGCTGGCCTTGAGTCCCAGCCCAGCCAGGTCCCCCCTGCCAGAGCGATGGGCACCTGCGGAGGTAGAGTTGGACCAGGCCATAGACCAGGATCCCACAGAGGTGGCCGCAGCCCAGGGACGTCACCAAAACGAGGAACACCACCAAGGGGCCCGAGATGGAGAAGCCAGGAGGAGGCGGAGGAGCAGGCGAGGGTCCTGGGTAGAGAACCCACTCAGTGCTCAGTCACCCTCCTCCTGTGCCCACCCCCTCTGTGCTTCAAAGACTTATTAGTGCTGCCTCTGGGCACAGCACATGTGCCTGGCCCTTCCCGGGAGCCCAGCACGCTGTGGGGTGTGACCGAGTGTCCAGCCCACATCCTGCCCCTGTCACAGCTGGCTCTGGGGTGACCGGCTGGCAGCCCCCTGGGCCCTTCCTTGCAGTCTCACGCTGTTGGGGACTGTCCTGACACTGCACATGGGGACCTGAGTCTGGAACCTGAGCTGCCTGCTCCTGCTCCGTGTGATGGCCAGGGCAGGGCCAGCATGTGACCTGGGTCTGAGACCCCAGACTCCTCCTGCTCCCTGGCCTGCCCTGGGCTCTCTGGGCCTGTCGGCCTGTCCCCTCGACACAGAAAGCTGGATGTGTGGACGGGGAGCAGCCCTTCCCTGTCTTAGACTCAAGTCCACGATTCCGTGACAGGCACACAGGTAGGAGGGTGGCCAGCACGGGACACGTGCTCAGTAAATGACAGCCCCCACTGTCCCCAGGATTCTCCCTGGCCCTATGTGAGGGTCTGAGCATTCAGAGGAGGCAGTTTTGGCCCTGGACACTGAGGACAGGGAGGACACCACCGGAAGCCGTGAGCATGGGGTGGCACTGTCTAGGCACAGCAGGGAGGGGAGACCTGGAGAGGTGACCTGGCAGGGCTGTGGCACTCACGGGGAGGCTGGATCCTGGCGTCCCTGTAGAAGGCCAGAGGGGGCTTCAGAGGTGTGGGGAACTCAGCCAGGAATGGCCTTTGTCTCAGCGTCCCCTGGGTCACCCATGTCCCTCAGGTCTGCCCGACGTCCCCACCATGTCCCTCTGCCTGTGTCCCCTGAGAGTTCTCCTTCCTCTCCAGAAGAGCAAGATCCCCTCCACCCCCAGCTGGTGCCCATCTCAGCCACCTGCCTGTGGCACTGGCAATGTCTGGGGACTTGTGTGTCCGCAACCAGACGTTGCTGTCCCCAAGGAAACACTGGACCTGTCCTCTTCACCCCTCAGCTGCAGACCTCAGGGCCCAGTGTGAATGGGCACCACCTGGCTGTGGCATGAATGCAGCTTCCCCTTGTCCCCTGGACAGACTGGACAGTCCTTCCCTCCCCATCTG